TCCTGCTGTACTACCCCTTTCCTTTCTGTACCTCTTCTCTGTCATGTCCCCAGCATTTCCATGTCCATCCTACGTTACTGCCTTTTTCCTGCCTCTCTCTTTTGCTCCTTGTTGTCTCCCAACTCATTTGGGCGGTGACTCAACTCTTCTCTCCCCACCCCCATCACCAGCTTCAAAAATACCAGCACAGAATCTAAGTTGGTAAGCCTAGCAGAACTCTAATTTTGGCACACTTCATTGTTTGAGAGTAGCTAAATTTGAAATGGTGTACAAGTGAACTCAGACCAGTTCATGTGAGTTACCAAAGAATTCATATTTTAATATCCATCTTTAATAGTATTTAGTTGCATTTAAATCTGCACTTTACCCCTGAGTGGTCATGGTATGTTCCTATCACAAGAAAATCTGAGCAGTGGCCACTGAAGTGCTTAGCTCTCATTTTCACTATTTTATTTCCTGCAGTCAAGAGTAGTCTTTTGTGAGGCTACACAAAGTAGGATGGTGTTTACATCACTACTTTGAAACTTTGCTTGGATCTTTTTCTGAGAGAAGTGCTCATTTTATAATATAAACATTGTGCTGAGATTTTAAAATATCTGAAAGCTTAATAGTAAGAATAAATGTCCAATTTATTGTAGTAGAGAATTAGAAGATGAAAATAAACTTTTGGTATTGCATTTCTATCTTGAAAGTTCTTGCTGTAAATATTCAATCTCTTGCCTTTCCTGAGAATATGTGCAACTTTCCACATACTCAATTTGTTGCACATAAATACTGAGAAAGGAGAGGTGGAAAATTTGCAGACTGCACCTTTTCTGAAGGCATTGTCCAGACAAGTTCTGAGAAACCAAAACTTTGTATCTGGTGGAAGACTACTGACATTACTTTGGATACACACAGCAGAGGGGTCTACTCACAAGCTACTTCTTTCTGGGGTGTTAGAATGTGAAGCAGGAATATTAAGTCTTCAGTCTTACTTGTAAGAACAAAAAATAAAATATCCGAAGTATCAAGCCTAAATTGCTGCACATATAGCAGAGTCCTTGAAGCCAGAGATCTCATCCCAAAGGAATACCACAGGTTGCAGGTAAAAAGAATAACCAATAGCAAAACTGAGATTTTATAACTACATTGATGATGTTGGATCTGAATTGTTAGAAGTCTGGATTTTTGTTGCATGTTTGAAAATATACTAGTTGCCAAAGATCTGTGTGTTGTTTCAGTTCTCTTAAGCAGTATGCTGTTCGCTTAACTGTTTAGATGCACCTTGACTCCAAAGCTCATCCCTTCACTGTAATCTAGAGAAAGGCAAGATTTCTCAATGTTAAGACATGATTCTGGAGAATTTGAATAGGTTCTGTAGGTGGGCATCACAAATTCTAGGAAACTGTCCACCTGCTCTTGATAGACAAGTGATGACTGTGAAAGTGTTCTGAAGACTCTGCCTTGCTGGTAACAAGAAGAAAGGGGCGATTGGCAGTATTGTGAATATCCATATGGATGAACATTCAGAGAAGGAAGAATTATTTGTTCTTTAAGATGTAGTATCCTTACCTATATTAACCATAGGATTGTCCTTTTAAGTTCCTGTACACTAAAGTAATTTGTAGCTGAGGGGGAACAAAAACTAGAGGAGATTCATGAACCTACAGCTTCCATCAGGAGCATCAAGTAGTGGGATGGAGGCAAAGGCAGGAGAAAAACCTCTTGAATTTCTTGTACTACATATGCATACTTAATGCAAAATTATAGACAGCATCTCAAAGAACTCCAGTTTGGGTTCTTTCCTAGTTTTCGTCTCTTTCTTCTTAGTAGGGGCAGGAAGCAAAATTACTTTTTTCCCAAATAAATGACTAAGGTGATCTTTTCCTCCAGTCTAATGCTTCACAGTTGCTTTAAGCTTGAGCTCCAAGATGAGACCTGTGATTAGAAGTAATGCTGGAATAGCTCCTTCTTCCTACATCACCTTGTCTCACGTTTCTGATGAATGAGGCAAATGGGATCCCAGGCACTTTTCTTTGTGCTCTGCTATGTACAATTTTGATAAATATTCCTTAATATCTTCAGGACTTGTTTCAGCAAGACCGAAAATGTCTACTTACTGAGATCTATCAGAAACATTATCCTGTTCAATTCAGTCCTCCCTGGAATCTGAGATTTTTCATTTGGATTCAGTACTGATAAAGCATTGAGGGATGGATTCTGGTAGCATTGTCAGGATGCTGATCTGGATATAGACTATCGTGCTTGTGTGAACAACTGCTTCAAGGGATTTTCTGAAATTATTTTCTGAAAAGATACAGCAGCTTTTTGAAGAATTACTTAGTATGGCATCTACAGTAAATATTCCAGTCTTTCCCATGCAAAAAGGATTACGCTTGATGTGATTGTAAGATCCTCTTTGGTACTGTTGGTTGAAATTTTTATACTTGTCTTACCTTAGTTGGGCTAATGATCAGAATGACCTTTCCCAAAAAAGGCTATTTTTTCATGGTCATTAATATGATGCACACATTATATGTGTTACAAAAAGGAATAGATCCTTGGGATGGGCTTAAAGCGTCCATGTGAAAGAAGGGAATGCTTTCATGTTTCTGCTGCGGGCCAGACCCAGTTAAGACTGATAGCTGATTGCTCTCTCCTTGTTAGCTGTAGAAAAATAATGTACTCAGTTGGGTTCACTGAATGTGCTTAAATGTTTTGATTCTGATGAATCAGTTTGCACTCAAGTGTTTCTAATGTATTATTGCAACTACTACCACTGTTAAATATTTTAAATATAAAAGAATGTTCTATGTTTCCTTGTTGAAAAAGGTCAGATGCATCACATTCTTTGCTATGAGATTATTTTAAAAATTAAATATTATCGAAACAGAAATTTTTGCTGTATGCATTTTCAAACATTTAACACTTCCCCCCCATCCCCCTGAGACTTTATCATTTACATGTTTATCATTTACTTTATCATTTACAATCAGCCTGTTGTACATACAGGTTTTTCAACATAAATGATAGTGTTGGTTTTCATGGCCTGAACATCATCAGCTTTTTTGAAGTTACAGGGTCCAAAATACTTCAGATCCTTTATCCTGTGGATAAAGGATACCCACTTTTTTGTTTGCAGAAGGATGAAGTTATGTTTATTGCATTCTCCACGCCTATCCCTTTGCAATAGTTCAGAGGCAAGGTTGACCTACAACTTCAGTGCCCCTGTGAGCCTTCCCTTGCCCTTTGCAATATTGAGAAAAAACACGCCATCTCAAACAGAAGGGTGGCGGAGAGGGAAAGCTGTGGTAGTTCCCTTCTTCTACATCAGCCCAGTTGTACCAGGAGGAACTGGGCTTCACTCCTCTGAAAGGCTACTTCAGCTGTCATCTGCGCTGCAGTTCAGGGAACTCACAGCATCGTCCGATCATCAGCTCTTCTAGGATAACACAGTGAATTTGAGTGGGCTCTGTGTGATACACTGTAGGTGACTGAGTTAGTGATAATGTTCGCATTCAGCTTCTTCCAGTGTCAATTTTATAAGCTATTATAAAGAATAATTAATTGCCAGCTATTATAATTAAGAATAATTAATTGCCAGCTATTGTAAGAATAGCTTTTTATGACTTGGATCCTGTACAGTATCTCATGTTCAATTCATGTCTGAATAAACAATCGTGTGGGCAAATTGTGACAAGGTTCAATGCCTGATTTTTAACACAAAATGTAACTTCTTGATGTTAAGGATTCACTGCTCCCCCAAGAACTAATCTTGCTCTTTTTATTGTCTTACTAGTATCCAACATTAAAATCAGATTTTTTTATAATGTGTTACAAATTAATTCTCTTCTCACAATATTATTCTCTAAAATATTAGGAGTTTTGAAATGCTGAAATCTTGAAAGTGGAAGGCAGCAATGACAGCTGCTGTTAGGTTGAAGAGAATTATGAGTGCAAACGTTAAAGGGCATGTTTGCAAAAGACTTCCCAGATTTTAAGAAACGACTACTCTTGCTGTTCATTGTTCCTCAGCTGGAGGGCTTCTGCCCTTCCCCCAGTGAACAGTGAGATGCTGTGTCAGGGCATGTGGTGCTCCCCATGCATTTTAATGCAAATCTGAGACTGTTTACCCCTTCACCATACAAGCTAAGCTCTGGTCTGAAGTGTTTTATGAGGGCTTAGATAACTCTTTGTGGCATCTCGGCTCTGGGGATGTGGTAAACTTCTGCTGAGAAGCTAAAACAAGCTATGGGGATAGCATTTTGTAACTGCTGCTATTTTTCTCCAAGGTGATCATGTGACTAGATATGTGTAAGCATTCAAATTTAGCGTCCTTCTGTTTCAAAAAGCTGATTCTGTGTAACAACAATTTTTTTTAGATGACTTCTACAGATTTGCTGAATTGCACCCACACTTTGCAGAAGACTATCTCTATCCTGACCAGATGGGAGCTGAGAGTGGCTTGGAGACTTCAGCTCTTTCTGCTCCTAATGGTATCTGTACTGATTTCAGCCCTGAAAACGCTGAAGATAAAAACAAGCCTCTGCAGAAGAAACTGAATTAACACTACAACTGTTACCTTCCTCTCCTGGCGAGAGGATTGTCTTTTCTTGGGATTTTCATAAGTCACTCCAACTATACAGCAAGTACCAGTTTTGTGTGTGAAAGTTGTTATACCTTAATACCATTCTTTGAATCATATGTGCTATATTTAACAACATGTTCCAGGTTACTTTGGGGAAGGTGTTTTTATTTTTTTCAAAAAGGTCTTTGAAAGGCAAAAATGTGAATGTGTTTCATTATTAATGTTCATATTTAAAAGGAAGCGGCACACTTATTTATATTCCATTGGCTAGTTTCATGTACGAAGTGTCGCACAAACTGTGCATGTATAAAGGAACTGTAGCTACTATGGTGTTAAGTGCACTTTGGTGATTAGTGTTTTCCCTAGTTACGGGGATTTTAATTTGGGGCCAAACTTTGCTGTCCATATTTGCATAGTCAGTCTTGTTGATTTCAGTGGGATTATTCTCTTGAGCAAGGCAAGCACATTTTGGCCCTTTGTTTTTGGTTTCAGTGAACAGTTTGGAAACAATAATTCAAAAACTTGCTAAGGATTCCTTTTTATTTTTATTGTTGAATGACAAAATTGTTTCTCTTTCAGTCTATTCCATGGTAGAATGAAAAGGAAAGGCTCCTTATCCCTCACCCCAACACTTTTCTACTGTAATCTTCCGGATGCAATTAAACGTGATTTTTTTCCAAACTGACATGCCAAATACTGTTTGCAAATACATGACAAAACTGTTTGTGCTTTTCTCTTATAATCAATTCAAATCATGTCCACCCAACATTTAAATTGCAGACGCTTACACAATTTTATTTAATCTAGATTTATCAGGAATCACAGGTTTCTTTTGTAGCAAGCCTGTATATACAGATAACTTAGCATGGAACACACTATGAAAACTTTGTATCAGCACAAGTTTGAAAAGGTTGCAGTTATTTCAGAAGCCAAGCCAGCAACAAGTTGCAGAACATCCTGAAGAAATCCTAGTTAAATCTCTATAGCAACATTGCATATACTGCATAGAATGTATATGAAGCTTAAAATAGTTTAGAACTGTTTAGGAAAAAAAAAACCAACCAAACAAACAAACCCACGAACCTAAAACACTTGTATTAGTAATATTTCTTATCTTCCCTTTTGTAAAGCCAGATGCCTTAATTACCAATGGAGGTCTCAGAGAAAAATTGAAATTATTATAAAACCACAGAGTTTCACTGATTAGGAAATATGTCAAAAGCCTCAAGGAGTAGGAAGGAGGACTCTGTCACAAAATAACTCTGATGGCGACTCTACTTCCAAAGAAACAAAAAAACCCTTTCAGATCATTTCTGTGACTAATTTTGTAGGGCTGCGCTAAAATACGATGGTTTTGTGATTGGAAAACTGCTGTTGAGATTTGAATCTTCTACATGTTAGAGTAATTTAAAATTAGATTTGAAAGGCAGGAATTTTAGCAGAAAGAAATCTGTTTGTATGAAATGCTTTTATTTTTTAAATAGGAGGTGTTTTAAAGCTCATAAGAGTGTTGGAATGTGTCCTTAGAAATCCCTAACTGTATGTGGCAAGTCTCCAAACTGAAACTGGCTTTAATAGAAAGATTATGGGGAAAAAATGTAAGAAATTATGCTTTCTGTGGGGTATGTGGAGGTAGGTTCTCATCTGGAGGTAATAAGTAAATTTTTGATTTATCTAGGTAATGCGTGCCAAGCCGATGGGGCTGCAGCAGACTGGCTAACAAGATTTGAATTAAAACTGATAATGAAAAATAGGAGAAATGGTTTGGAAAAATAAGGAACTACACTTAAGTAGGAATAGTCAGCTGCACAAACAGGAGGGAGTGGGTATTACTGCATAAAAATCTTGGGGCAGGCATGGTATACAGTACGACAAACAGCACTGTTAACTCATGGCTGCAGAAAAGATACTCATTATAGTGGGATGCGTTAACAGTGTAGCCTATGAGAAGCGTGGTGGTACTTCTGTGTTACTAAGGTGTGATAAGGCCTTACCTAAAGTACCTGTCCATGTTGGGGCATCTGAGAAAGATGGGGAGTAGCTGGATAGAGTCTGGAGGACAGAAAGTAGTCAAAAAAGAGATCAAAAGTATTCTTTAATCTAAAGAAGAGGAGACTGAAGGAAGATGTGAAAACAGTCTTCAAATATGGAAAAAGTTGCTATAGAGGAGATAGGAACAGTCTTTTCTCCATGTTGATGGTAGATACAGGCTATTCATTTAAAAGTCAAGTTAAACATTAGGAAAATTTCCTTACAATACACCTAGTTAGCTAAGGAGAATGGGTTATTCCAGGTGGGGTGAGGAGCCTTCCTTCACTGGAGGTTTTGAAAGTGGAACAGACAGACAACTAAGACACTTGACTTTGTTGATCATGCTCCAGGGTTGTAGGGATACATCCTGAGGTCTACTTTCTTTGATTATACAGTATGTATTTTAGTCAGTTTGTGTAAGGCAAGGCACATGAACTGTAGTCCGGGCGTATCGCATCTCCTCTGCGAGACTTTCTATGGCATGTGGCTCAAGCTGGCTAAGATAGTTATTTTTTGCTTTGTATCTGAGCTTAGGAGTTTGAGAATTTCAGAGTGCAGGGGATGAGATAGAGTTCCCTGAGACACATGTCTGAAAAGAAGAAAAAGGTAAGCTTAGTATCCCATGGACAACTTTGGGGTGAGAGAAGCTCCAGAGGAAGAGATACTCTGTACGTATCTGTGAAAGAACAAAGAAAGCTGATTGAAGGTGGCTGAGTGTGCCTAATTTGCATGTATGGTGTGTGTAACTTGGGGACCTGTCTTCTGAAAACAAAGGGTTCATTTGGTTTCATACTTGCCTTGGTGAGGGAGATGTTTTCTAATTGTGGTGAGTGTAATAATGGCACTTGCGTGCAACTAAGCTGTGCAGAGTGTTTGGGTTGAAGGGTGCTGCAGCCTACAATAGACGGGCCCTTAAACAAATGCCACACTGCATGGTGAAGAGGCACTGAAATTTGTGTGCGTCAGTGAGTTCGGTCCAGAGCTGCTGCTGAAGAAGGCCAGTGACCAGTGCGTTGTTTGCTTGGTGAGCAAGTACTCTTGGTGGAAGCAACCATTTAAAAAAAAAAAAGAAAAAAAAAACACAACACACAACGAAAAACCCCCATGACAAAACAACACTTAGATTCTGTAATGAATTGCAATGCTCCCTCTTTTGTGAGATTGTTGAGCGAGGTAGAGACATAATAGGATGAATGATAGGGTGAAGTCCTGATCAGCCTGCATGGAAACATTATTAGATCACACATAATATCACAAAAGCTGAAATCAATGAATATAATTCAGGTGACTTTAGCATCTGTAGAATATGAGGCTATAATACTAGACTGCCTTGTAGTGACAGAAAAGCCACATTACTGCAGAATGGTAAACTTGGGACTTTATTAGAGGGCTGAAACCTGTAACACATTGCATTACTGCAGCAATGTCCATTACAACTCATCTATCAAACTCCGTTTGCTGAAATGTTTTAGTAGTTCCAAATCGGCAGCCTTTTTAAAAAGCACCCAACTGTGGAACAGCTGGGTTGTAATGGTCAAGTTTCAGTGGCTTGCTGCAATGTCAGGGTAGAAGTGAAAGCTTCCTTTCCCCTTCACCAAACACTGACATGCAAATGCTTTCAACTAAAATATTACAGATTTTACAAACGCGTTGTTTTATTTTAACTGGTGATATCAACAGCTCCTAAATTTACAGGGAGACATATGAAGAAATTACTTCAGTTCTTTGCAGCAATTTAACTTAATAAATGATCCTTACCCAAAAAATGCAAGGGTGTGAAGGCATTTGACATTTCTGATGAGCATTTTACTACTTTTATGTAATACTGCCATCACTTGTCAGTAGAGTTCTTGCATCAGACTGAATTTTTATATATATTGTACGAAACGCCCAGCCAAAGCTTTGCTATTCTGATACGGTTGAACAAATATACTCTGTGCTTTGAATGTATTTAAAGTAACACAGAAAATCATGAAATCCAAGATATCTAAAAAGTCTTTTTTTTTTTCCCCTTCATTTATATTTCTCCAAACATAATAAAACCCTAAGCAAATGTTTAGGAGGTGTAAAGCATGTTTAAACCACTGTCTCTACCACAGTAAGGCAAGTGCTATTACAGATTTCACAGGAGTCTGCTGCTGTAAGCAGATACACTTAAAAGGCATTATAGGCAATTTGTAAGCATTGTGGAGAAATTAGGCTGTACACTTAATTTTATACCAATGAATTACACTATATGTTTCAATGCATTTAGTGTAGCTAGAATAATCTTATTATGATAAAAAGCAACTAGGCTTGCATGTGTGTTTGCTAATCCCACTTCGAAGGTATAAATCCTTAGGTCGCAAAGGTTGAAAAGGAGACACGTCTGCAGTAAGGAAGTGATGCGACCTCTTTAGTGGCAGAGCTGCCGGAAGTAAATAGTCAAATTTTGTACATAGCTGTTTATTAATATTTTCATGAAAACTGAATAGGTTTGTTGGGTAAGGCATTGGGCTGGTTGGAATATGTTTTTATTCATAATAGGTAGTAAACATTTTTCTGGAAGAGGGATGGTTGCACTTTAACATTTGCATAGCTTGATAAATTTTCTAAAGTAGATGTATTTTTATTCATTTATGAGTCCTCTTACAAGGCCATCTTTGGTATTGCCATTATTTTTCCTATGTTATATTATCATGTGGTGAGTACAGCTTTTCGTGTTAACTGTTTTAGCCATATTCTGCTCTCTGCTCCTTCAAAAATGGTATTCTTATTTAAAAAAAAAAAAAAAGACTCAAGTTCTGCAACTTGTATTCTTTGAGCACCACGTGCTGTAGATCCCATGATCTCAGAAAAATTATAAAAGCACAGCTTTGCATATATTATGGACTGAACTAGAATGCAAAAAAAAAAAAATCTGATAAAAACTCTAACCAAGTCAGATCAATTTTCCTTTAGGTCAGAGTGTGGGTTATAAAACCTTCTGAAATGTT